TAAAAATTTTTTTTTTCTATTTATAAAAGGAGCTCATCATATCAATAAATATATTATGATTTATGATTCATTATTTTATTAAAATATTCATCGACATTTTTTCCACACAAATTGTCATAATTTGACCTCTGCCTATGCACAAAAAAATATATATTCAAATTCAAATTATTTATGAGCTTTTTTTACCATTTTTTATTTTTATTAGCTATCAGCTAATTTGCAAAAAAAAAAAAAAAAAAAATCACAGTCCCCTACAAACACTGAAAATCAATGTGCAATGAATGTATCAACTTGCCTGCAAACAACAAATCCTCTTGTAAATACACAATATTATACAGATGAATACAAATACCTACTAGCAATGATGGAAGATTTGATGTATGCATAGTAATATACCTACTGGTGATGATCAGTAACAGGCAATGAATGCTATAATTCACTTATAAGTAGAAGCAGGGAATTTGTAGTAAAAGCTGTGTGCCACTGGTAATTGAGGCAATAAATTTGTGGTGCCAGACTTTCACACCAGATAAATTAGTTTACTTGCAAGCGTCAGGCATAAGGCTCCTGACGCACCGCACAACTCATTCACATATCAAAACCACACTGCCGAAGCATGAGAAATGAAGCCTAATGCGCTGCTAAATAATGCCACTGAATTCACAATATACATACAAGAGGACAAAAGGCTTTTGCAGACTTTTAAATAGAATTTTGCAATTGAGCATATTTGAATATTGCAAAAACACCCCATGCATTAAAACGGACACTAATGCATTCACATCATGCATATACATGTTTCAAAATACAAAACACAACATGTAATCATATTCTTCAGCATGTAAAATACACTATGTAGCGGTAGCGCGCTACACTGACTTGCAAATACATCATGCACTACATGAGAACACTGAATTATCATGCAAATGTATTATACAAGCAAACATACAATGTACATGCTATACACACAAATCATGCAAATACATCATACACTGTGATTATGCATTAAGCTATTGTGCAACATATCATCACATCATACATGCAGATATACAGGTGCATGCATGGGCATGTTAAGGTGTTGTACACATCTAATGCACTGCGCACATACCCACCATACAAATACATTTTGCAAAATGCATGCTAAAGCATATACTCGCACGGGCCCCGATGAGCATGATATATGCACACACGTGAAGTCTGAGGATACTGTGTGAGTCAAATCAATAAACTTAAGCTCGACCGGGATATTTATTTTATATGTTTATGTTAGGCCTTTAAGGTCTATCACAAGAAATATTCACTAATAAAAGTATAAAGCTGATAATGAATCTGATCCTCTATCGTCAAGTTTGCAGAGTCGACAAGATTCGATCAATAAAATGAAATTGCCCATAATTACCCTTATGATGATCATGTTGAATGTAAATATCATGCATAGGGGTTAATTTTCAAATTCTCCGAAAAACCCTAAAGCTTCATTTATAAATCTTTAAAATTGAAATTCAATCAGCAAATACTTAAAAAAAATACATATCCACCCTCTGCAACAGTTTGCCGAAGCGGATAAGCTTCAAAATCACTTCAGCTCACAAAGAGTAAATGTCTGGTCGACAATATCACTTGTATTTATTCTCAATTGGTCTCTTTCTAGTAAGGACGTGGCACGTGTCCTCTACATGGTGGTCTCGCTGCCAAATGACATCATAGGTAAACAATTATGATCGGGATCCTTTGACAGGATGGTTTTGTTGCTAAATGACACCATTAAATTACGGTCATGATTAGAGCCTATATATTCCCCAACTGCTTCAAATCCTTTAGTAATGAATCAAAAGGATATGATCAATATGGCACAAAGCCCTCTGTTAGCTAATGTGGATTCAAATCTGTCCCCTTAGGCATCACCCCATGTTTACATGATACCTTTGGACGAAACAACTCATAGCTACTGACGATGATCCTTCTGTTAGGTTGGGTCGACTACCTCCTCCGACTAAGTAGACTAGGGACCATGATGACCCCGGATAACAAAACCATGGGATATTGATCGGGTTCATCATTATTCCCCACACCATCTGCTTTAAGTATTAGGTGGTGAATTTCTAATTTTAAATATTAAATTTTCAAATACTAAATCTTGCTGTTACTATACACCAGTTACCATGCATCTGTTTGGCGACTAGCCTTAATCGAAAGTTCTCTCTCACTATTGGGAGGGGTAGTTAACTATAGGGGCTTGCATCTATAGGAAACCAGAACTCAAATAAAAAAATGCTTGCAAAATGAGGGCGAAATCTTAGGGTATTATCTTATTTAAACCCAATCTGTCTTTTGAAAATTTGCCTCGGAACGTACTCGTTAAAACTCTCCTTGACGACCCGAAAAAAGAGAAATGGGCCGCGAATAGGCCGAGGTACGAATTTTCAGAGTCCACATAACTACACTGATAAAATCCTTGAAATTATTCATAAAGCTGAACCAAATAGCTGGAAACATGTGGATACTGCTCCAGATGTAGTCTATGGTTCCGTGCTCAATTAAATTCATTAGAAGAAGAATGCATCAAGTTTTTGTGACAATTTATCTATGTTCCAAAAATCATGTGATTTTCTTTCCACCTTCCTGCAAATATTGAATATCAAGCATTTTATTGGAGCATCGCAGAGGTGCAAATTTGCATGTTATGGAAAACTGATAATGTATTGTTCTTCTTTTCAGCTTCCTGCTGATATCAAGTGGCATTTCATTGGAAACCTGCAAAGCAACAAAGTCAAAGCCCTTCTTAGTACTTTTCTAACTTGAAGCTTGCTTTGAATTTTCATTTGCATGTGTGAACTTCAGTTCCATTTTTATTGCTTTTAATAAACCACTAAACCTCAAGTGATATTTGAAAACTAATTGGGCTTTTATTTATGCCATCTATGGTAGTGTTTTTTGTATTTTCTGTTTTCATATTGTATGTAACTAGAAAATCAACACAGAAAACAGATTTGGTCAAACTTATTTTCTATTTTTGCAGATGGGCTTGGTTCCTGAATTTCATGAAATAATTATATTGGTATTTTCACTTGTTCTTTAAAATAATGTTTTTGTAACCAACTCTATATTGATTTTATGGTGCTAGTGCACATGGAATACACTAGATCGGGCAGTCACATTTGCAGCAAAATGCTTGTGGATGTTTATCATGCAAGCCTAGTTGGCGAGGACAGCACCCGCTTGAATGAAAAATCATCATCTATCTTGATATTAAACATTTTAATTTTTTAGTGCTATCAGTAATCGGGCAGTCACATTTGCAGCAAAATGCTTGTGGATGTTTATCATGCAAGCCTAGTTGGCGAGGACAGCACCCGCTTGAATGAAAAATCATCATCTATCTTGATATTAAACATTTTAATTTTTTAGTGCTATCAGTAAATATATCAGTAAATATAATTATAGT